ATTTGCAAATAATAATTGATTTCATATTTTATTTTTGTTATGTAATAATTTTAATTTACCAGTTTTTTTATATTAGTCAAGTTTATTCGGTACGATTTTTATTTATTTTAACATAACAATCTGTCGACGACTCACAGGTTTATGCAAAATTATAAAATGCTTTATGCAAAAATATAAAGTGCTTTATGCAAAATTATAAAGTGCTTTATGAAAAATTATAAAGTGCTTTACCCAAAATTATAAATTGCTTTATACAAAATTATAAAGTGATTTATGCAAAATTTCGAATCGTTTAATAAATCCATTTAAAGCATAAAAAAGTTCGAATAAATGATTTATTTATATATAAGCTCATGTCATTTAACTTCAAAAAAATTATAATAATTTAAGCAACCACTTTATTCAAAAATCATGTTTTGTTTGGCTCCAACCATCGTTTCATTGATCTCCAAAATCCACTTAATTCTTTGTTAATTTCACACATTTAATTAAAAATTATTTCCAATGCATTTCCAATATTAATTTCATTATTTAAAGTTTTTATTTCGCGATATCTTGCCTTTATCATGCAAAAAAATTCCTCAATGGAACTTAATTAAGAAGACCATGCCGGTAAATATACTCTATTTATTCTTAATTCATTTAAAACTTCTATAATACTTCTTGATCTATGAAATGGAACATTATTCATTATCAGTATATGGTCTGGGTTTTTTCGGAAATAATTACACAGGTTATTTCTTATAAATCTTTCAAAGCTTTCAGCATTATAAGCTCCAGTTCTTAATAAACAACGGAATATGTCTTTCCTTTTTTTTGGGAATACCCAAATCGTCTTCTCAAATGCTGATTAAATCCTGATTTGTCTAAAAAGACCAATTTATTACTAGAAATACGCGAGATACGGCGGGAAAATATGGTCTTTTTTTCAATATTTGCTGGGGAATTTTTTTCTTCGGGAACCAATGAAAGCCTTTTTCGCGTTATATTTATTTTCCGCAATTTCCTTGATACTGTTGATTGAGATATTACCTTACCGGTTGCTGCATTAACTTTATTTACCATTTCATTGTGTCAGTTCATTATTTATTGCTATCCTATTAAATAAAGTATTTTTGATTTTACTGAACAACAACTTTTTGTTTTTGATTGTTTGCTTGTGGCGTTTTCCTTTAGTAGCAAATTTAATGCTTTCTTGATGATTTTTTATGCAGTTTCTTACAGCAGTTTGGCTAATGTTTAAAGTTTCGGCAATGTATTTGGTTGAATGGTTATTTATCAAACTAGACATGTTTAAAATTATTTCATGAGTTTTCTTAGTTATCATTATTCGACTTTTTCTTGCCATGTAAGGTTCTAAATTTTATTTTTTAACATTAATTTAAAAAACTTGCATTAATTAGATAAAAACTTGATTTGGTTTATGTTTTTTAGCCAGTTAGTCATTTAATTTTTAATTACAATTTGATATTGTATTTTAATTCCTATACAGCTTTCTTAGATGATTCTAAAAATGACCTGTGCTTTTATAATGGCATTTATTTATTTTTAAATAAAGCACTTTATAGTTTTGCATAAAACAATATATAATTTCGCATAAAACAATTTATAATTTTGCATAAAGCACTTTATAATTTTGCATAAAGCACTTTATAATTTTGCATAAAGCACTTTATACTTTTGCATAAAGCACTTTATAATTTTGCATAACCCTGTAATGAAGTTTTTAAAAAACTGACTGTTGTTAGACTGTTGTTAGACTGCCGACCGTCTTGTTCAGACAGATCAGATGCATCCATGGCCTTCTAGAAACAGGCCTTGACAAGCACAGAAATTTTTATTGACTGAAAGCCGAGTTAAGCGCTTATAAGTAAAGTGGATGCGGACAAGGAGAGCAAAAAACTATAACAATAACAGTATGTAAGAGCTGTTTAAAAGTAAAACTAAAATAAAGTTAATAAGCTATACTTCTTATTTGATATAATAAAATTTAAATAAAAACTTATTTTCAAGATAGTTTTAGAAATATTTGCCTGGAGCATCTTGGAGATTTTACTATTACTAGATTTTTTAGAAATATATTTGCTAAAGTGCAACAATGTCGGTCATTAATACCAAATTAAAACTTGTTTGATACAGATAAGAATTGCTTCATCAAAAATGTTCGACAAAATTCATCTAATAACTGCTCAAACAAAACGTAATAAAATATGCACCATTGAACAATATTGTCAAAGGGAATAACAAGACCTCCTCTATTCAAGTCATCAATGTAGGGACCACATTTTTTATAACAAAGTTGTGTATCAGTATAATCATAGACATTTTTTCTTTGAGCATAACCACCAATATATATAATCGAAAGTAATGATTCAGCTTGAATTTTATCCTCGAGTTCTGGCAAGTTATCCAAAGTTTTGCACTCCGGTCCATTTAAACTTTGAAAACAGTTTTTACTGGAATGACCATCGGTACAATCTTCAAAACTATCTATTTTTAACTGTAAAGAAAGTTTTGCATGTTGGATTCTAACAGATTGAGCAGTAATAAAATAGGTTCATACAGAACCCTGGCGAAGCTTGCTAAGGGTTTTCTCTCATGGATCAGTTGTGAACTACCCCAAGAAAAACATAATCAAACACAATCCAAAACATATCTTGCAATGTTGACTAACCCCCTATACACATGAGAAATACATTCAGAGGTATCTTTTGTAAGCTACTTAATACGTTTTGCGCCTGATTTTTTCAACCACATCTGCTACATCTAATAAGAATAGCAGACTTTAGTCTGTGTGTGATCTTATAACTGCACGGTACTCATATTTATAACGAATATCTGCTCCAACACCTTTTACGTTAAAATTTTCCAAAACTTCACAAATATAGAAATAAATTTGATGGTGCCAATAACTTCATCTTTTTTAATGGATGGGTGATTTTTAAGTGCAGTAACCGTTTCATCACAAAAACCTCGTAAACAAGTCTCAACTTTTTGTCGCTCAATTGGTTTTGGAGAAATGGAAATTTCATTTAATTTGCTAAGTTTTAAAAGATTGTCAGACTCCAACTCATAAAGATTTACTAAATCACTCTACATGTTTGTTACCTTCAAACTCAAAAAACAAACTTCGTTTGTTGCTACATGTTTGTTACCTTCAAACTCAAAAACTAGTTCTCCACTTTTTTTAGTTAACCAATTATTACGAACACACTTCATGATATGAACATAATCAAACAACAAAAATGTGTTTTCATTATCTCCCTATCAAGGGTTTTCTTCAACTTTATTCATCATTTTAAAAAACTTTTGATTTACTCTATTTCAATCAGTAATAATTGACAACAGTTTTGCATTGGGTTGATTGTTAATTGTTAAAATAATTGTTTTGCATTGTTTAAAAAGAAAATCAGCACCCAAGTTACTAATCGGAATTATTTTTACTAAAAACTCTGGTCAACCAAATAAACATTTTACCATTACAGCCAACGGGTTGATCAGCAGAATTTCCAAATAAAACAACTCCATGATAAGTTAATATGGATTTAATATAAACTTTATCAATCATCAATATATATTTACGTTGTGTATTTTCAATACTCATCATAACATTTTTCAAAAATTCCAGATCATCTGATCTTTTGATCCGACTTTTGAAGTGATTCTTGTCAAAATTCTAATACAGTGTAATTTATAATCATTAGAAATTTGGCTGTTACAGAGACCTGGATATAGCAAAATATCTAAATGCTCGAATAAATATATCAGGAGAGTAAGTAAATTAACCAATTTTCTTATGTTTTGAGACAAACAGTCCATATGTTCGAGTAGTACATTTTTTTTTAATGGCAAGTATCTTTACTTTTTAAATAACGTATGATTTCATCAAAAACTGACCAATATTTACAACACAATGTCTTACTTGACATTAAAATGGTAATACTGCAAGATGACTCAAGATAAAACGAAGTTAATATTAAATCCCTATTAATGATAACTAAAAACTTTGGAATACCACATACAAATTCTTTTGACTAAATGTAAACAACATCGTTATTGTCATTTATGTTGCATACAATAAGATCAATTCTACGGAAGAATCTCTCTTTTATGCTATCAAATTATGCTATCGGACACCTTTGTAGTTGATGACACATAACCACTATTACAGCATCGAACACAATATTTTCGAGGCATAATTGATAACTTTTTGTAGATAAATGTGTTGCACTTTGCAAAAAGAATAATCTTAAACTATCATTTTTATTCGTTGCTGATTAAATAACGCTGCAAAATCGCTTTCAATTTGTGTTTAGACTAATCACTGTTAAGTATACACATCGCAAAACAAAAATATTTCCTTCCATGTAAATCTATCCAAATAGAATAGACCTCCAGTCAGAAATAATTTTATCCCGATGTCAAGGCCGGTATTTCTAGAAGGCCATGGATGCATCTAATTTATATTTAAAAAATCCGAAAAACAATATACAAGAAAAACAAAAAAAAAAGATCCAGAAATTATTCCTCTCATCATTGTCTTAATTGAACTTCAGAACAATGTCTTCATTTTTTATTTTTCATCTTTTTTTCTATTTTGTATGGGTACTGACCTGAAAAGTTGTATTTACAAGAATTTTTGGAAATCCGGAAAAACTTCAAGTTGAAAAAAATTTAAGGAATTCCGGACATATAGGAAAAAAAATAATCCCTGTAAATATTTGGAAATTTTATTGATACCTGTTTTCATTAATCTTTATAAAATCAACTTAATTAGTTGTTTTATAGCAGCAGAATTACTTTTAGTAACAAAAAAAACATAAACAATTTGTATATATAGAAATTTAGTATATAGACGACTAAAACGATCTTTATACGAACAACCGAAACAATCTTTATATAGATAACCGAAACAAGTTTTTATTTCTATAAAGACGACCGACACTATCTTTATATAGACGATTGAAACGTCCGCGAATCATATATGAAATGAGAAATAGTAATAAAAAAATATTTATTAAACACTGATCGATAAATGATTTTTATGAAGATCACGTAGTCCGTGTACGAGGAGGTTCTAAATATGATTTATTTTCAGTAGAGTCTTCGTTCAGCCACTCCACTTTTTTCTTGTGTTGAGAAATCATTTCGCGAACCCTGGCATCTAGAATGCTCTCAGTTAATATACCATCAGCCGATGCATATGTACTTGCCTAAAAGACGATTTTGATATTTATATGATTTATACGATTATATTTATTTGATTTTATATTTTTCAGATAAACTTTATAATATAAAATAGAAAATGCCAGGATAGTCTTAAACGGGACTAGCATCCTACCATTTGCTGAAACTGTTTAATACGTTTTATCTTATTTTTTTAAATACATAGTTTCATTTTATATATACCTGCCAAGAAACGCCAAGCTTAGCAATTTCTCTACCGGAAAGACCTTCTGTATCTGCTGCTATCTGTCGACATTTTGCACTGAAGTCAAAGTCAGCAACTTTAATACGACTAAAAAAAAAACAGAACAAATAAAAACTGTATAGACCTAAGCCTTTATATATTTTTCTTTGTAATTATTAAGATCTTTTTCTATTAGTATAAAAAAACAATTTAATCAACATAATTTTTTTTTAAATTCAAATTAAATAGCGCAGCGTATGTAACTACTATGAACTATTGCTAAACACTGAACGGTTTTGCAAACAAACGATTGCTATTTTTAAAAATTAAAGCTAGTTATGAAATTTTTTGGAGAAGTGAAAACAAGTTTAAAAGAATATTTTGAATTATAAAAGCTGTAGCTTATTTAAATACACACACACACACACACACACACACACACACACACACACACACACACACACACACACACACACACAAATTTGAAAATTTTGAAAATAGGAATCGTTTGTTAGAACCATTATATCAAAGGCACAGGTCAGAAATTGACCATTTAGGTTTGATATTGGAACACCCTAAACAATTTTATTGAGTTAATATAAGAAGTTATTAGAGTACACAAATGTGTAAAAATTAAAATCCGGCGGATAGCACATTTTTATAAAAAATTTTTAAAGGAGGTCTATGAAATTTTCATGTTCAAGTTAGGCAACTAACAGACATACTGCAAATCAAAAATCTTTATATACTTATACTAATTGCAGAAAAAGGATGCCAAATAATGTTTATTTTATTGATATTGGAGACATAGAAAATACGTTTTTTTGAAAATAAAATGAAAAAATGAAAATTATTTAATTTATTTTCAAAACATTCTATACAAAAAAACTATAATTTAGAATAGGGTACCGTTATGTGTCCCGTTTCCGCCTTTTTTTTAAATTTTGAGTTGCTTTTTTTATGTGAGGTGCATAGTGATTAAAAATAATTATTGTAAAATTTTAGGACATACAAACATTTTTTAGGGATACCACAGTTACCTAATTTGAGTAAATTGAAGTTTTCGCGCCTATTTATGAAGATTTCACTGAAAAAATTCTCTGTGAGGATGATGAAAACACAAAAAAATTAGAAGATGAGGAATTTTACCCAATGTCACCAAAACAAAAAAATAAAAAAGATAAGAAATAAAGGCACAAGCCTTTATTTCTCAGTTGAATCCAAAAACGCTAACTAAATCGTTTACTGATGTTTCTGATCGTTTACAACTAAGCGTTAGAGGCACAATTGCTATCGAAGCAAAAATAGTTAAAAATTTTTGAAAATTTGAAAGTTTTGTATTTCAAAATCGAATGCCAACAAAAGAAAGATCGAGAAAGTCAATTAAAATATAAATATAAATGCAACCGTCCACTTCATCCATGTTGTCAATAGGATAGCAAACTTGTTTCGTCGCTTAAAGGTAAAACTATTCAGACTTTATTACGTAGAATAATAATCTTAGGATAACTTTTATTTTGATTTTTTTCTTGCAGGAAAGAAAGAAGAACACGTTATCATCCTTGCAAGTGGATGGGATGGATTGGGTGAAGATTCAAATCTCAAAATTCTCGGAATTCCTATAACCCCATATGCTACTGGCGTAGCCCAAAAAGATCAATTTATCAACCATTTTAAATTATGGAAGCTACTTGATGATTTGATTGCTTTTTGCTTCGGCACTACAACTAGTAACACCGACTGTAAAGCAGGATGTTCTGTTATAATTTAATCGAGCCGCTATTTAAAATGCGTCAGGATAACTGGAACTCAGTTTCCTACAAAAGAAAAAGATATTCAGTTTGAATTTCCTGAAGACGGAGATAATTCAATCGATTGTCAAGCAAAACTTATCTTAAAATAGGCTAGCAATTGTCTACAAAAAAACACATTTCCAAGAAAAGAATATTGAGAAATTATTGAACTGGTAATTGTTTATCTTGGCGGAGAATTACTAGATAAAAAGACTTTTTGGTTCAAGAAACCTGGCGATCATTATCGCGCTAGATTCATGCGCAATGAGTTAGACATCTTTAAGAATGTAATGTTGGACAAACAAATTAACTAATGCTAAAAGCATAAGGGAATGGTGGATTTTATTGCACTGTTCCAGCTTTGAAATTGTTTAGCATCAAAAGAAATGAACAAATCAAGCTTTGAAAAACAATATTTCCACAAATTGAACTAAATAAAAATTCCTGATTTTGTGGCGCTGATTGGGCCAGATTCCTGGCTACTGTTTGATTTACTCAAAGCGAAACCTAATCAAGTGAATTGGTTGCAACTACCTATTGAACATTGGACAAAGATAAAGGACTATAACTATGTTAAATAAGTAATCAAGTTTTTAAAAGTGGTTAATGACTACGTTGAACAAGGAGCCAATCAAATCTAAGATTTTAAATACAAATTTAAAGATCCAAAGCTGTTACAATACATCAAGTTCATATTGTTGAGAATCATCGCAAACGAGTGTCTCTCATTAGAAAAAAGGAGAACTTAAATTACATAGAGTACTTTTTACCATTGTTTTAAGTAATTTTGTACATTAGTAACATATTATTTCTGTCCTGTGCAACCCCTAAATAATTTTTTTACAGCCCAGTTTTTTTACCTGTAATGCTTTACTTAATGAAAAATAACATACTAAACATACATGAATTTTAAGAAGCTGACATTAAAATTTTGAGAAATAAAAAATATGCGCAAAAGCTTCAATTTACTCAAATTATGTTTGATTGTCCTAAAATTTTATAATAATATTTTTTTATTCATTATGCACCTCACATAAAAAGTTTAATTCAAAACTTAAAAAAAAGGCGGAAACGGGACACCATAAGAGTACCGCTGCGGATCTAAAAATAGATTTAATAAACATTTTGCAAAGATTTCTGGGATCGAAATATGGACAGACAATACAAAATGCAAAAAAACTTAACACCATTTAGAAGAAAATGTGTATAAGTGCAATAAAACAATGCTTTTAAGATTACTTCTTAACAAATTCTTGCTACCTTGAATGTTTGCAAGCTGGTGCAATTTAAAAAAATAAGATTAACTAAAGATTCGATAACAAACTTGGAAAAAAGAATAAAGCTTTCGAAATTATATCTTGTAGATTTTCTAATCGAAAAGAATGGAAATAGTATTAACATAGATGCAAATAATATGTATAATCATTACAACAAAGAAATGGTAGATTGAAAATTTGTAAAATTTTTATTAGTTTTGATATAATTAAAGAATGCAGCATATTGATTTTAATACTAGAAATAGCCACGATTTTATTGTTGATTATCTTTATTATTTAGAACATGAAAAATATGATTTTATCGCCTTAATGAATCTCATTTTTCTACTTTTATGACTTTCTTGGATCAGCCAATTATCAAATTTCATATTTCAGTTCAAAGAGTGCGAGGGTTAAAACTAAGTCTAAATAGTTATCTGTATAAAAGCATAAGCATGTATTTTAATCAGTGAAGCATCAGTGATGTGGCTATATTTCAGAAGTGTGGAAATACAGAGTTCATTAATTTTCAAGATGTAATTCAATCAAAAGTTCAGATTGTTTGATGGAGTTATCTTTTACTTATGACACTAGCATTATAATCAGTTTATGTTACTTCATAATTAGTAAACTTTCAATAATACTTGTGTCCTTGTGTATCTTTGTAAAATTTAAATTTTGTTTTAACAAATTTAGCTATTTATTTATTATTATTTTTTTTTTTTTGCTCATTGCAATTTTTTCACTTTTTTTTCTGTGTATATAAAGATTCAATTGTGTAATCCTTATAAAAGTACTATTACAAAAAAAAAGTAAATTTAAAAAGATTAAAAACCATTTTTAACAAACTTTTCCAAGTTGAAATTTAAGCTTACTTAAAAATTATGTGTTAAAACTTTTTCATAAACAAGTGTTAATTTTATTTGGTCGCAACTTTTAAAAAGAAATTTATATACATATTAGCAAATACATTTTTATTATTTTTATTTTAAAAAAATTATTTTAACAGTCAATGTTTAGAGAGCTGGCTAATATTTTTCTGACCTTGCCAAATTCTTTTTGTTTAAGAGTTTACTTTCAGGTGCTTAATATGAAGAAGGGGTAGTTAGTTAATTTTTGGAAAAAATACCCACCCTAAGCGTATTCATTAAATACTAGGGTTTGGACTATTGTAATTGTAATTGTAAAAATAAAATACAATAACACATTACAATATAATAATATTGTATTGTAATACCAGAGATCTAATCAAAACATTATTTATTGTTATTGTATTGTTGTGATTAAAAACAGTTACAATAACTATTGTATTGTTTTTTTCTAACAATACATTGAAGTTTTAAAACTATTGTACTGAATTGCTGTGATGTAAAACAATTACAATACTTTTATATTGTATTGTTGGGATGAAAAACAATTACAATAACTATTGTGGTGTATTGTATTACTATTTCTAAGTCCAATAACTATTGTATTTTAACGTATTTAGATTCTTTTTCCGTGCATTTATTATTATTTGGGTACTAGAAAATTCAGAGGTGCCCATGACGCTCATTTTAAGCACTCATTTATATATATTAATTTTATTAATTTTGAGAAGTGAAAAGCCAAAGAAGTATATATATATATATATATATATATATATATATATATATATATATATATATATATATATATATATATATATATATATATTACTTAATAAATATCCAGTTCAGGGGTGCTTGTGGCACCTATTTCTAGCAACCATTTACATATATAAACTTTATTTATTTTGAGTTCAATAATATAACTGTTTAAATAATAAATTATTTAGAATTAACATTAATAATATTCATTCAAAATCATACAAATATATAATTAATCATATGCTTGTAATTAAATAATTATTTACTTTGTGAAGTGAAATATTTGATTATTTTACAATTTTGTTCAAACTGATATTGAAATGTTTCAACGGATGATGACGTCTAAACTAATTGATTAACTAAATTAAGAGCATGAAAATGATTTTTTTCTTCAATATAATTAACTGCTAATGTGAAATAAATTACAGTGT